CCCCCCCCCCCCCCCCAGTAGTTTTGAGCTCTGGGAGCAGGAAAAGTCACGGTGGGTCCATTCCTGGGATTACAAGGTTTTCAACCCTCTTCCTCTTCTATTAGAGAGAAACAAAAACAGCCGGTCCCGCAAAGGGACGCGAACCTTGGGGCTGCTGTGCATCTCCGCGGCAGTGCATGAATTATGAGATGTAAACACTAGCTAAGCACAAAAGGAGGAAGGGTCATCCTGAGGCTGCGGCAGAGTCAGAATCAGGCCCTTCTGGGTGCCCTCCAGCCCCTCCCCTCCCCCAGGACTTTTTTTTTTTTTAAGAAAAACAAAACCCCAATCGGCAACTCCGTGTCCCTCTGCAGCCTTTAGTTTGTGATCAAACGAAAATCTAGATATTTTCCAAGGGGCCTCTCAGCAAAGGGAAGAGGGATAGGCGGCTGGGTGTGAAGGGGGTGTCATAAAAGTCCTTTTGGAAAAATTCAATGGTAAAAAGAGAAACAGCTGTAAAGAAAAATGCTGGGAGACCGAGCAGATGGGGCCCCAGATATTTAATGACGGGCAATTCCGTTTACAACCTGAGAAAAAGATCAAAGGCGTTTCATTTCCGAATGGAGGGTGAGGAGGAACCGTAAAAGATGCAGCCAGATGATATTCCGGCCCCTCCCAACCTCCCATACCTCCTGGGGCCAGAAAAGGGGGATGATAGCTGAAGTGTGAGAAGGAGTCCCATTTCCCCCACCTCCCTAGCTCCTGGCAGGCTCTCTCCATCCAAACTTGTTCATTCAGCCACCTGCTAGGGTTGCTGGCAGTGGGACCTAAATGGGGATCTGGGAAACCTGGGGGATCTGGAGTTTCGAAGGGACTTCCTGAGGCTGCCAGTAACAGCCGAATTTACTAAGCTGGGAGACTGGGGATGGAGCTGAGGGAATGGCATCCTAGACTGTGAAAGCTAAGGGCCTTCAGAGGGTGATGGGAAGGGTGCACAGAACCACTTCTCCACCGACTCCTCACTTATCGCTCCAGGTAGGAGGAATACTTGCATCCCTAGTGAATAAGTCAGAATAATAAAAATTTCTTTAATAAACACATCAACAAAACAAAAAAACAACCCTCTAACCACCACACTCTAAAGGTCTGTGCCCATAACTGGCCCTGGGACCCTTGCACGTGGGTAGGAGGAGAGTTTTCACCTACCAGCCACCAAGTCCAGAGCCCTCTGATTTTCTATCCCAAATCTAGCTTGCCAGGTTTGGCCTCTAAGCTTGATTTCTAACACTAACACCTATATTTGAAAAATCACACACACACAATAATATTGCAGTTATTTTTGCCAAGAGAGGGTCCAGTAAGTAATCTCATACCTCCATTTGGGCACTCAGGAAGACTGGCTCCTGGCCCTGGACCCACAGACAAAATGTGTGGATAGGACCACCCCACCCCCCCCAGCATCAAGCAAGGACCTGTCCTAGTCTTGTCAAAGGCCACTTTAGTCAGGGGCACCATTCCACTGGCCAGACCACTTCCCCTACCCCATACCTCCTGTTCTCAACTCGCCACCCTAAAACTCGTCCAACTGGTAGGCTTTTCGGAATTGGGAGAGGGCCTCTGTGCTGCTCTACACTTTCTTAAGAGATGGAGTCCAGGTGCCCCCAAGCACCCCAAGAGAGAGGATGGGAAGCAGAGCCTGTGGGGTTGATGCTGGGGACAGAGCGCAGAGATTTTTCTCCTCTGTGCGCTGGGAGCCGCCACCTGCCCATCCCATCGAGGGGTCGCACTCCCCACCCCAGCCAGTCCCGCCGCGAGGGGTGGAGGACTGGGTTTATCGGCGATTTCCGAGACGAGGTTGGCTAGAGCAGGAGGCAGCCTCTGCCCTCCACCCGCGAAGAGCATTAACATCAATACGCATACTAAAAATAATAAAGAAAAAGCCAAGGCTCCGCGCGCTTTCAGAGCCACCTCCCCCGCGCTCCCGGTGGCTCGCCGGCCCGCCGGCCGCCTTCTCCCGGCCAGCCACAGGTTGCCGCAGTGACCTCGCTGCTCAGCCCCTCCGCCGTCCCGGGCGTGTCCAGCGCGCGCCACTACCGCTACCTTTTGTCGGCGGGGAGGGAGGGACAGAGCGAGGGAGGGAGTTCGCAGGCCGGGGAGGCGAGTCCCAGGGCGGCCCGCAAGGCAGCGGCCCGGAGGAGCGCCAGGCCCGGAGGGGCGCGGGCGGGAGTACTCACCGGGCCGCTCCCCGCGCCCTCCCGGCCGCCTGCCCGCCCGCGGGCCCGCGCGGCCCCCGACAAGCTCGCTCTCGTCCACTATTGTGTGTTCGGAAAACCGAACCGCCGCGGCAGGCAGAAGAGCTCCGGGGGCCCCCTTGGTGGCCGGAACAAGACTTTTTTTTTTTTTTTTGGTGTGTTGTTTTTGAAGTGCAAGTTTTCGTATTAATCTCATACTTTGGCAGTCTTTGTTAAACAGCTAGGCGCGTCACCAGGCTCTCGAACATTTTAATAATTTTTAGACGCCGTGACCTGCGGTTCACCCCCTCTCGGGCCTCCCCCATGAGCAGGCAGTTACTATAATACGCTCGCGCAGTTCGCTGGGTCATATTGAATTTTGCGCAGGTCATTACTTGGGAGAAAAATGACAGAGCAAGGAATTTGATTCAGCTCATCCTCTCTAGCTCTACTTTTTGCCAGAACCTTCCCCCAACTCCTACCCCTCAAAGTCCCATTCGAATAGGGACTCAGCTGCCAGCCTCTGCTTTGATATTCCATCATTCCAATATTTTTTGTCAGCTTTCCTTCTGGGGGCAAAGAGGGAGTGGGTAGAACTCTGCAGGGGTTCACTTTGCAGCCCCTGGTAGAGACCAGCACCTGGATAAGTGGAAACGTGGGGATCTGGGTCCCAGAGAGCAGACTTGAGCCAGAACCCCTATAAATGGCCACATCGACAGGGCCTATATTCCCACTCAACTGCACACTCTGCTTTTTTCCACCCCTCGGTGCCAGAGAGATCCCCATTTCTGCCTGAACTGGAAGCTCCAGGGCCCCAGGAATGAGACCTCCACCTCCTGGTGCTGAGATCTGGTCCACAGGCCAGCATGTTTGGGTAGGATAGACTCCTGAGAGAAGGGCTGGACTGCACTGGTCAAACCTGGGGACTTGGCTTTCAGAGGCTTTAATTCTCCTCTAAAAATCAAAGAATATCCTTCCCACCTCCATTTTTATTTAAAATTACTTCTCAACTATACTATAACTCTTTTGCCTGCCCCCAGCACCATCACCAGGAGGTTCAGGAACAAATCAAAGAGGCGCTTAAAATACTCAAACAGATTTTCTTTGGTTTATCCCTCCAGAACAGGACTAGAAATGGGTGGCATGCCAGCAACACATTTCAACACATTTCAACCAGCAGAAGTAGATCAGGTGATTACCCCTCCACCCAGCTCGAGTCTCAGGGCAGTGTCTCCAAAGGGGTATCCCCCTAGTTTGGGGAGGTTGGGAC